ATTTGGCAAGTTAACTGCCATAAAAGCTGAAAGCTAAAATTTGAATGCAAATATAGGACTATAGACTAATTAGTCCAAACTAAGAGTTGCAAGGATAAAAAACTCGATACAATTTAACCTCGGAAATTATTTGTTTGAAGTTGCTTTCAAATCAGATATTAGCATAGATTATGACTACAATAATACATAAAAAAAAACATATGGGAAAAAAGACCACGCTTTTAAAAGTCAAAATCATAGGGTTTGTTAGTGCTCTTTTAAAACTGCTTCAGATTTCAAAACGGAGATATATACCTCTCTTAGTTCAACTTCGTCATTGTTAATGTCACTAAATTGTCCCTGCTCAGTCTTATATTCTCTAGTGAAAGGTAATTCGTGCAGTAATTCACCAAGGCTCAGCACAAAAATACAGAAGTAAATTTTTTGTCCTGATTCTCTGGAAATTTGAAGGTAAAACTGCTGGAAGGTTTGAAATTTTGAGAACTTCTGGTGGCACAGACCCTATGTTACGAGGAAATAAAAAATATAGATATAGAGACATAAAAAAACACTAATCTTTATGGAAATGATCTCTAACAACTGAAAATGTTTATATATATGATATGCATGAGGTGATATCATTTGTTTCCAAAGATCGATATTCGAAGGATAATGTCTACACATTAGATGCTGATTTGTTTTGTTGGAACTTATTATGTCCAGTCTCAACAAAGATAATCACAGAAATTTCCTCCGTGCAAGCTGTTATACTGAGCTCCCAGCTGAAAGAGATGTTGAGGCATATTGATTCCCATGAAATATCTCAGGGAATATATAAACCAATCAAACTCATTTATCATCAAGGGGAGCCATTCTATGTTATCAAACAGGTAATTTTTGTAACTGTTGACTAAATAGGTTTCACAGCAGTGAAAGAGTCCAAGGAAAAATTTAGAACAACAATAGAAACAGGAGGTAATTCAGCGAAAATTTTCAAACGATAAAGTACTCAATCTCGGTATATCCATAGTATCTTCGAAGTTGATATCCATAGCCTGACTGCAAACAAATCCACAACTTGACAGCCAGCAAAAATCACTGCAGTATTCCCAATGCGCTTCAAAGAAAATACAGATGTGATTATTGCAACAGCCTTCTTTCAGGTAATAATTGCTACACTATACAAATGGAAAAAAGAAAGCCTTATCTTTGGTTCTCTCAAGAAGGAATGACTTTTCATCTTATCTAGATTCACGAGATCCATTATTCCTACTATTCATAAAGGAACTGAATATTTTCTCCCAGGAACTTGTAGTTGTTGGAAGTACTGGAGCGTGTGCTAAGGCGCCTCATTGTATCTGGTCACCGATTCCACCTCCAGAGTTAAGAGGAGAACATATGGAAGACCTGAGCACCAATGGAGGATTTGTTTCTTTTGGTATTACTTGTTATTGTTATTACTTTATAACAAATTAACAATAATAGTAATAGCATTTCCTACCCCCTGTTTCCAAGCTTTTGGTTCAGTTATTCAAGTCCTGTTACCATGACATTTTCAGATATTACGTCCCGTCACCTGGAAGGAAAAAAATTAGACAAGACTGTGTGGAACCTACTGAACTTCTATACATTCGTGAAATATCACGTGAAGGTAATGCACATTCACAGGTTATAGAACACCTTGCATCCTGCTACTGCCTACTAATATTTGGTCTTAAACAGAGCACTAGAGGTTTTATACACAGAAGGATGAGAAAGCGTCTTGGAAACTTGGTCGAGGTAATCAAATCCATACCTGAAGTCATGCATGTGAATAGTAATATGGTCCAGTTTTTTTCAAGTTACATCTCTCCCTTCGATTTGAGATCTCATTACTGGTAAGATATCTGATGAGCTGCTCTCGTGTTAACTTGCAGATGTTGCAAAATGCAGGAATTGAAGAAGAACAAATTAAAAATAAAGTCCAAGGTATGAGATACATTATTTTCCATTTCAAAGATTGTGGTGAAATCGATCACGATTGTTGCAGTCTCAAGTGACTGGGCAAAGTACAATGTAGCTATCGGATGACAAGGATGCTTTCATCTGTAGGAAGCTAAAATGGGCATTTTCAGCTCTTATGAAAAGACCAGCTAAAGCATAAATTGAGGAAGTTGTTTATAGTTAACATTCTACTGCATAAATTCTGCATGTAGGCACAGTTCAGGCATACATTGTTTTGCTAGCCTCTCCTCCTTTTTCTTCCCTTAATGACTTTTCTCCATTACGAAGCTGAATATTCTAATGCAGGATTCAAATATGTGAGGAAGTTGGCAAGATTCTCAAAACCCAAAATCCTCAAGAGGGGATTTAATTTCAGCAAAAAGCTCAAGAGAATTCGTTCCAGATTAAAAATCCATGGGTTCAGTCGTTTCCGCAGACGATGGTTAACAATGCCAAAATTTTCTTCAGTTACGAGGCATACATAACTGTCGTAAAATGGTTGTCTTCAATAACATCAATATGTTTGATGGAACATATAAGCTCATCTCTTATCTCACCACCAGTTACTCCATTACACCACAAGCAACATACTAATGGAAACTTTTATATGCCTATATCTAAGTGAAATAATGGAAAGTATTTATATCCTGAAGTCCAAACAATTCTGTAAACTTCAACATTGTCAATTGGTTGAATTTAAGAGCAAGACCTTTCTATACGACGTGAAAGAATTTAGAAGGAACCTTGATCTTTCTGTTCCCTTTAAGTTTATATTGACATATTTGGCGCTGAAAACTCCAGATAGTGCACAAAATTTTGGTTCCATAACCATTTCTGGTCATTATTACACATAGATAGTTACAAGCAACGTAAGATCAAATTACACCAAAAATAAATAAATAAACAGCAGCCAAAATTTTCTGTTATAAATAAGAAAATACTAATAAATCTAGCTTAACCTACCCCTTATTCCTGTGGTGCGTACAAAATATACCCAATGATGAGGGACCTCTCATCCACAGGTTTCAGCATTTCTCCCAAAAATGTTAGCTATGAGACAGACATCTTGTAACATGACCTTTTAACCCCTAAATGATAAACTAATGAAGATAAAAAACAACAACACAATGCAGAAAGTAAAAACATCAGATATTGTTCACCCAGTTCAGCTTTAAAGCCTAATTTGGGGGGCTCAGGATTAGCCCAAATACTAAGCAGGCAAAAACCTTCAATGAGAGAGTACATATAATGAGAGACTCAATCAGACCCGGATTTAGCCATCGATCTACAAAAGATCTCCTAAATCAGAAAAACCTAACCAAAGAAATCACAGCACTTCACGAACAACTACAGACCCAAAATCAGCCTCTATTCTACTGTAGCAACACGAATCTCACAGGAACCTCTAAGATTTACCGATCAAAACCAAGAAGAAAACTAGAAGACTTAGAGAGAGAAAGAGTCGTTCGAAGTAAAAGGCAGAAGACCATCGAATCATCGAGAATCACTTCAACGCAAAAGTCATAATGGTATGACTTAATCTCAGCCGTAGATTAGATCCAACGGACCATAACCCTCATGAAGAAGCACAATCCAAGTTAAAGAGTAAGGGCCAATCCGGGGTTACCATGTGGCCTTCCAACCAAATTGGTTTTAAAGAGTTGTTAAATGTGGGAAACACGCTTTCTCTACATTCTTCACCTTGTTTCTCACACAATCCACTCCTCCTGGTTGCTTAAGCGTGCTTAGTTTGCGTACCTACAAAAAAATTACCCTTTATCAATATTCAGTAAAGATAAACAAGTTTTAAACATGCCAACAGATACAACTTTAGTCCCCATATCCGAGGGGTTTATGTTTGTATGAATTTTAGTCAAATTAACTTCACATGCAGCAATTTTTTCTCTAATAAAATGATACTTCACATCAATATATTTGGACCTTTCGTGATAGACAAGATTTTTGCTAAGTAAAAGAGCACTATGAATATCAGTAAAAATGGTAGGAGTATCATGCACGTAGTTTAGTTCACTTAAAATTCTATTTAACCAGAGGCATTCTTTAACAGCCTCGATTATAGCAACATATTTAGCTTCAGTACTAGACAAAGTTACTATAGGCTACAATTGTGATTAACAAGTTATGCAATTATCATCAAGCGTAAAAAAAAAATAGCATGTGGTAGATTTTCTATGGTCTTTATGACCAACAAAATCTGCATCTACATATCCCTTAAATGTCAAATGTTTTGATCCCTTTTTATACACCAAACCAAGATTTAATGTCCCATTAATATATCTCAACAACCACTTCAAACCTGCCCAATGTGATTTACCAGGATTAGACATAATGCTACTAAAAAAGCTAATTGCATAAGCTAAGTCTTGTCGTGTGGTAATCATGGAAAATATAACAGATCTTATGGCATTAGCATATGGGATGTTTTCCGTTTGTTTCATTTCCTCTTCAATTTTTGGTAATCGTTCCATGGACAAATTCATATGGGCAGCAAGCGGAACATTAAGAGGTTTAAAATCTTTCATGCCAAATTTAGTTATTACCTTATTCAAGTAGGATTCTTGAGTGAGAGTTAACCTGCCCTCAAACCTATCCCTCTTAAGAATCATCCCTAAGATCTTTTTGGCATTTTCTAAATTTTTCAAATCAAATTCTGGTTTTAAAAGATTTTTCAATCTTATGATTTCAATCTTGCTAGGGCTAGCAGTAAGCATATCATCAACATATAACAATAAGTACACATTAAGTCGACTTTCAACATTGTTATAATACAAACAAGCATCATAATCACTTCTTTTAAAAGCAATTTTGATAACATATGAATCAAACCGTTTGTAGCATTGTCTATTTCATTGGTTAAGTCCATACAAAGATTTTGCAATTTACATACATAATCTGTTTTTCCCTTCACCTCAAATCCTTGAGGCTGAGCCATGTAAATCTCTTCTTCCAATTCACCATGTAGTAAGGTTGTCTTAACGTCTAATTGTTCAAGTTCTTAATCAAAATGAGTAACCAGTGTAAAAATCAGCCTAATGGTCTTATATTTTATCACATGAGAAAATATTTCATTGTAATCTATTCACTCTTTTTGAGTAAATCCCTTTGCAACAAGTATGGCCTTGTACCTTAATGGATCGGTCAAGTTATTACCTTCTTTTAATTTGTAAATCCATTTATATTGGACAATTTTATGATTCTTGGGTTTCACAACTAGTTTCCAAGTCTTATTTTCACTTAAAGACTGTATTTCTTCTTTCATTGCCCGCTCTCAGTTTTCAGATTTTGGCCTATATGCCCCATTCTTTTATGTCTCAATTCAGTTTTATTTTCAGTAACAACTAGAATATTAAAAACTGGACTTGTGATTGTATTACCATCGAGATAATACAATCCATTCCTTTAAGGTCCCTTTATAACAATCAGGGAACATTTCATAATCTTTAAAATATTGTTGTCAGATTTGAAGGTATGTCCCACACCTTCAAGAATACCTAAAGAAATAAGGTTTCTTTTCAGATTTGGAACATATCTTACATTCATAATTGGCTTGATAGTGCCATCATACATTTTTATGACAATATCACAAATTCCAACAATAGTTTGAGAGTTATTGTCTCCCACGTAAACCTTCTTGGGTTCTATTTCTTTATAATTATAAAACCAAGATTTAATAGGACACATATGAAAGGTACATCCTAAGTCTAAGATCCAATCCTTTTTAATCTTATCATTGGTTACAGCCATAACAAGCAGGTTATCAATCTCATATTCAATTGTGTTGTTATTTAACTCCCTATTATTCTGTTCATTTTGTTTCCTTTTCAGATCATAACAATCTCTCTTAAAATGTCCCAATTTTTCACAATTGTAACACTTCTTATTGCTATTATATCTAGATTTTGATCTCCATTTGGATTTTCCTTTTTCTTTCTTAGTGTGAAAATTATTCTCACTTTTCAACCCTCCCTCTTACAAAAAAAAACTTTCTTCTCTGTGATTAGATTTAGTCTCCTTTCTGACTTCTAACTCCCTAGCTCTTAAAGCATCAATGACTATGTCTTGTGTCAGTTTATCTCTAGAGTATTTTATTACATTCCTGATGTCTTTTTGAAAGTTAGGTAAAGAATTCAGTAAAATCACAGCAAGATCTTCATCAGCAAACTTCTTTTCTTTATGTGCATGACTCTTAACTATGATACTAAAATCACTCAAATTTACCTCCAAGTTTTTCCAAGGGTCCATCCTAAAGCTAAATAGTTTTTCCAAAAGGTAAATTCTATTAGGCAAAGTCTTTGTTGGAAACATATTATCAAGAGCAGTCCATAGGTCTCTGGCAGTTTCGGCTTCTTCAACTTGTCTCCTAATATTATCAGACAAATGTAGAATTATAGAACTGTAAGCAATTTAAAGTAGATAACAATGCACCAAAATTAGAACAAAAGCAATAATACTTGATGCAAAACAAATGAAACTTGCAGACAGATAATCAGACCAATTTTCGTAAAGGAATCAAATGATACCGAATATATCAAAGAACAGATTTATATGCAAATTTAATTACAGAATTCCTACAGGGAATATATCACATGCATATATGATCTATCAAGAATCACAAGAGATTACTATACAGAAATATAAATGGAACGTTCGCAGCAATACTGTTTAAACAGTAAAAGAAAACAGCACTAATCACAGTTTGAAGCTAAACACAGCCCTTCTTAATCACTGGAAGGTTATGCTATACGGTGTACTGCCTCTCACAACAAGAAAAATGCTATAACATATAATGAGAGACTCCAGACCCGGATTTAGTCATCGATCTACAAAATATCTCCTAAATCAGAAAAACCTATCCAAAGAAATCACAGCACTTCACAAACAACTACAGACCCAAAATCAGCCTCTATTCTACTCTAGCAACACGAATCACACAGGATTCCTCAACAAATATTGACTAGAACCTCTAAGATTTACCGATCAAAACTAAGAAGAAAATCGACAGACTTAGAGAAAGAAAGAATCGTTCAAAGTAAAAGGCAGAAGACCATCGAATCATCGAGAATCACTCCAACCCAAGAGTCATAATGGTATGACTTAATCTCAGCCACAGATTATATCCAACGGTCCATAACCCTTATGAAGAAGCACAATCCAAGTTAAAGAGTAAGGGCCAATCCTGGGTTGTCATGTGGCCCTCCAACCAAATTGGTTTTAAAGAGTTGTTAAATTTGGGAAACACGTTTTCTCTACATAACATTTGATTACAAGATCTTATATCCACGCACAACCAATGCATGTTACCAATTCAATGCCAAGTTTGCATAAGCATTTTTAAATGCAAAGAGAGTTCCTTGTCTATGTATTGCAGTAAGATTTGGAAACATAGAAAACATTTATTCACTACGTAACAGAAAACAGTTATTCGCTTTTATAGTAAAAAAGACTTTAATAAGGAAAATTTGCAGGAAGACAGTGAAACATAACAATCAATCGTGCAAGGCGAAGTGTTTCATTAAGTTGATTCTAGTCGACTTGCAACTATGACTCATAGCATATATTTGATTACACACTTCTACTAGCACCTGGTTATTATATTTCAAAACTAATACTCTTAGTATTACTGACTCCAGTCAAAGATATCACATGAACTAACCTAGTTTGAGCAAGTCTATAATTAGAATGTGAGTTGATTATATTACAACTGAGAACAGTAGTTTACAACTAAAATATATCCCTTTAAAAGGAAGAAAATGGCAGTTGCATCATAATGAGTACTTGTGCTTCAATGGTATCTTGTCCCTTCAATCTGATTCAAGTTATTTAACATTGACATCGTAGCACATTTTCTTGCTATGGCATGATATAATGAAGATATAGCCGTAGAACGTCAAGAAAGAATACTAGAAACTATTGCATTAAGGTAGTAAAATTTTTTCTATTCCCCAGAATGTATGTCCCAAGTACAAAAACAGGGAAAAAGTCTAAAGCAATTTGTCGATTGAAACGAACAAGTTTATTCACAACGTAAATGTTTCATACCAGACCTTTTAACAACAACAAAACTTCTCATGCAATTTCAAATTCAGAAAGGGGACGCATCAACATACCCTCTGATCCAATCTCAGCCAGCCATGGACACGATCTGAGTGGTTTGGAGTTTAATCTATTACGATGCATGCAGCAATACGAACAACAGAAAGCTCGTAATCATCACCACAGTAACACGTCCAACAAATAAAAAATTCATCATGCTACACCCCTCAATCTATCCTCCACTGGACATTAGACTCTCCTTTCATCGGGGCCACCCTTGAAATCTTAGCACACCCTTTCAAACCAAATGCATCCGTGTATAGTGATATTCCCACTTGTAAAACCCAAGGCCCTTTCAAAACAAGACCAGAAGAAAACAAAAATTCAGCAAAGAATGCTAATGGCCTAACTGACAAATACAGGCAACATGCAGCGTAAAAGACAACCAAACCTCCCAATATTCCATCCCCGTTCAAGTAAAAATCAATCGCAAACGTAATGCTAACAAATATGAACACAAAATTCTCGAAACAATAGAAAGATCCAAACTTTTTTTCAAAATCATTAAAATCATGAAAGCCCATGTCGAGGCTCGAACTCCTGATATGTGACGTGCTCCCAAAATTTGACCAAATTTGTATTTTGATTGAATACGTTTTTAAGCTGGAATGTTTTTATGAGATTGCAACACATGTTCTTATCCTGACCCTTGATTTTTGGCATTATTGATGAAAAGATGTATACATGCACTGTACCATTTCGCCGGGCACCGTTTCATCTTCTGACTTCTGGGTTTTATGAGAGAGTTTTCTTCCTTTTTCTTTTCGAGTTAGGGTTTGATCTGTGATTTTCTTCTCTCTTGAAAAATCATTTGAAATTGAGATCGTTGTAATGTTTAGCCTCTGAAATTTGTATATTTCTGAGTGATTACCATAAAAATAAGGGTTTTCTTATAGTGATAGTTTTTCAGAAGGCGGGTTGAAGTTTCTTGAGTGCTTCTTCGTAGATCTGCGATTTATTGTTGAAGAGATAAGTGTTTTATACTTCTCTCTTATGTTGGAAGATATGATCTGTAACTTTTGTTACCATTTTTAAGCTTATAATGCAACCAAGCGAATATCCAATTTATTGAATGCTCAACGGGGGATGTAGGCATTAGAAGCGCTTGTCGAACCTCCGGGGCTTAGGCCAAAATAATTTTTTTGTGTTTAATCTTTTACTTTCTACAATTTTATTTTATGATCTTTAGTTGTATTTGGAATCTTATTCTAATATCGTGTTATCTGGGCATTTTTCAGTGGTATCAGAGCCTGAACTGAGAACAAGATACCTGGATCTTTGCAGAAAGAGTTAGATCTGTTGAAGATCCAAAATTTTTAGAACTACTGTTAAATAAATCTTAAAGATATTGAGTTTTTATAAATTCAGTGGGTGAGATCCTTTAATTTTTGTAAAGTTTTTTTTTTCAAAAATTAGGGTTTCTTGATTTTTTCCTTGATTTACCATGCACTTAAACTCCCTGGAGATTAATATTTGTCCAATGGTTCGAACAAGATCTTAAGAATTTGAGATAAATTTAGTACGGGTGTGTATCTGGAGGTTCTTGTTAGAGAAATCTTTGAGACATAGACTTACGATCTTTGTTATTGTGTTCTTTATTGTGCTTGATCTGCATGTTCCTTGACTGTGATTGAAACTTGAAAAATCTTGTATTGCTAAGTGTACTACTGTGTTTTGTAACTAAAAATTGTTTGAGAGTCCCTATTTGTGCCTTATTAATTTAAAACTTCTATTCGTGTATCACCCTTTAATAAACATATGACTTCTGCTAAATTTGAAGTTTCACAGTTTGATGGAAGATGTAATTTTAATATGTGGAGTAAAAAAATGAAGGCAATTTTAATGCAAATGAGATGTGTTATGGTTCTAGATGATAGTTGACATGTGGGCTTGCCTCCTGCAAAGAAAACTGAACTTGAAGAAATTGCTTGGAGTACTATNTGCTAGACTCACCAAACCTCAAATTCCTATTACGATGCATGCAGCAATACGAACAACAGAAAGCTCGTAATCATCACCACAGTAATACGTCCAACAAATAAAAAATTCGTCAATGCTACACCCCTCAATCTATCCTCCACTGGACATTAGACTCTCCTTTCATCGGGGCCACCCTTGAAATCTTAGCACACCCTTTCAAACCAAATGCATCTGTGTATAGAGATATTCCCACTTGTAAAACCCAAGGCCCTTTCAAAACAAGACCAGAAGAGAACAAAAATTCAACAAAGAATGCTAATGGCCTAACTGACAAATACAGGCAACATGCAGCCCAAAAGACAACCAAACCTCCCAATATTCCATCCCCGTTCAAGTAAAAATCAATCGCAAACGTAATGCCAGCAAATATGAACACAAAATTCTCGAAACAATAGAAAGATCCAAACTTTTTTTCAAAATCATTAAAATCATGAAAGCTCATGTCGAGGCTCGAACTCCTGATAAGTGACGTGCTCCCAAAATTTGACCAAATTTGTATTTTGATTGAATACATTTTTAAGCTGGAATGTTTTTATGAGATTGCAACACATGTTCTTATCCTGACCCTTGATTTTTGGCATTATTGATGAAAAGATGTATACATGCACTGTACCATTTCGTCGGGCACCGTTTCATCTTCTGACTTCTGGGTTTTATGAGAGAGTTTTCTTCCTTTTTCTTTTCGAGTTAGGGTTTGATCTGTGATTTTCTTCTCTCTTGAAAAATCATTTGAAACTGAGATCGTTGTAATGTTTAGCCTCTGAAATTTGTATATTTCTGAGTGATTACCATAATAATAAGGGTTTTCTTATAGTGATAGTTTTTCAGAAGGTAGGTTGAAGTTTCTTGAGTGCTTCTTCGTAGATCTGCGATTTATTGTTGAAGATATAAGCGTTTTGTACTTCTTTCTTATGTTGGAAGATATGATCTGTAACTTTTGTTACCATTTTTAAGCTTATAATGCAACCAAGCGAATATCCAATTTATTGGATGCTCAACGGGGGATGTAGGAATTAGAAGCGGTTGTCGAACCTCCGGGGCTTAGGCCAAAATAATTTTTTTGTGTTTAATCTTTTACTTTCTACAGTTTTATTTTATGATCTTCAGTTGTATTTGGAATCTTATTCTAATATCGTGTTATCTGGGCATTTTTCAGTGGTATCAGAGCCTGAACTGAGAACAAGATATCTGGATCTTTGCAGAAAGAGTTAGATTTGTTGAAGATCCAAAATTTTTAGAACTGCTGTTAAATAAATCTTAAAGATATCGAGTTTTTATAAATTCACTGGGTGAGATCCTTTAATTTTTGTAAAGTTTTTTTTTTTTTCAAAAATTAGGGTTTCTTGATTTTTTTCCTTGATTTACCATACACTTAAACTCCTTGGAGATTAATATTTGTCCAATGGTTCAAACAAGGTCTTAAGAATTTGAGATAAATTTAGTACGGGTGTGTATCTGGAGGTTCTTGTTAGAGAAATCTTTGAGACATAGACTTACGATCTTTGTTATTGTGTTCTTTATTGTGTTTGATCTGCATGTTCCTTGACTGTGATTGAAACTTGAAAAATCTTGTATTGCTAAGTGTACTACTGTGTTTTGTAACTAAAAATTGTTTGAGAGTCCCTGTTTGTGCCTTATTAATTTAAAACTTCTATTTGTGTATCACCCTTTAATAAACATATGACTTCTACTAAATTTGAAGTTTCACAGTTTGATGGAAGATGTAATTTTAATATGTGGAGTCAAAAAATGAAGGCAATTTTAATGCAAATGAGATATGTTATGGTTCTAGATGATAGTTGACATGTGGGCTTACCTCCTGCAAAGAAAACCGAACTTGAAAAAGTTGCTTGGAGTACTATTTTCTTGTACTTGTCGGATAATGTGATAAGGGCTATTGGTGAAACCAAAACTGTTTCTGAACTGTGGACTAAACTGCATGCTAAATATGTAACTAAGACTATTCGAAATAAATGTTATTTGTTAAAACAATTCTTTTCTTATAAAATGGACCATTCAGTTGAATTGGATGAAAATCTAAATAGGTTTAACAATAGAAAGATCCAAAACTTTCTTTTAAAATCTTTAAAATCGTGAAGGCCCATGATGAGGCTCGAACTCTTGATCTATGAAGTGCTCCCAAAATTTGGCCAAAGTATTTTGATTGAACACGTTTTTAAGCTTGAACATTTTTATGAGATTTCAACACGTGTTCTTATCCCGATCCTTGATTTTTGGCATTATTGATGGAGAGATATACACGTGCACAATACTATTTCATTGGGTACCGTTTCATCTTCTGACTTCTGGGTTTTCTGAGAGAGTTTTCTTCCTTTTTCTTTTCGAGTTAGAGTTTGATATGTGGTTTTCTCTTCTCTTGAAAAATCATTTGAAACTAAGATCGTTGTAATGTTTAGCCTCTGAAATCTATATATTTCTGAGTGATTACTGTAAGAATAAGGGGTGCCATGAATTTTCTTCCAAAAATCAGGTGTACTTCACCCTACCACATTCCACACCCACCATATCTACTGCAAAAACCCTAACCCCATTTCTACCTTGAAACCCCCTACCATCCCCATTGTCCCAACCTCTACGAACGTTGATGGCCCCACTGCCATCGCCAGCCACCACTTCATCCTCTTCCTCACCCATCCCATCTCTACCAGGAATGCCAATTACCACCACTTCAACTCAAACCCTAAGCCCAATCGCCCTTCTACCACCAAACCCCCTTAACACTCCACAGTCTAAACCACCACCTAAATTGTCAGACTCACCACCTATCGTCGATGGAATCACCTCCCAAACACAACCCTAACTACGATTGGCTCCACATGGTGTTGGTGAACCCAAAACCTACAAGAAAAGCTTTAGGGCGCAAATTGCAAAATATCAAAAACCTTGAATTCGATGTCGTCAATGGGACCTACAATTGTGGATCGACAACTTAGCGTTGCAACTTCATTCTATCACTACTCTAGTCATGGGTTTTCATCAATTGGACCATAATTATCTTGCGTTGTGTTCAAATCCCTAGGTGCGATGATGTGAGGTGGTTGTAGATCTATAGTGGAGAGAGAAGTATGAACATTCTAGTGGTGGTTATGAATTTAAGGTGGAGACAATATTGATTGTGATGGTGTTGGTGGATTTGAGGTAGTGGTGATAGTTGTGGACTTGAGGTGGTGTCGATGATAATTGTGTGGTGTGGTGTTCGGTGATCAGTTAATTAGGTAATTTGTAATCTTTTAAATGTGTGAATTATGGCTAAAATATGTGATTGTGACCTACAAATTGTGTTTTTATGATTGTGGTCTTATGTGATTTGTGACTAATATGTGATCGTGACCATAAAATGTGTGTTATTATGATCGTAATCCGTTTAATTAAATTATAGGTAACAACATTTTATCAAAGGTCACAAATTGTGACCTTTTGATTTTTGAAAAAAATTTACAAGTTTATTATTTTTGAAATTGTATTTCGAAACATTTTTAATTATGAAAATTTCCCATAAAATAATCACATGTGAAAGTATCCCTTTTTAGATTTTCGTTTTTTGAAACCCATAAGAGCTGAATGCAACCCACTGCAAGCTAAGAAATTCTAGACTTTTAACCGATGGGCTTGGACCGCTGGAAAATGTAAAGTACTATAGATGCTTTTTTTAAAAGAAAATTATTGAAAAAAAATTTCTTATATCAGAAGAACTATTTCTTTCTTTGATCTTCCCTATTCGTCATAAGATCAACTGATAATACTTCACCACTCACATTTTCTCTAGTTAATTGAAGTTCACATTTAAAATTGAAAGTATTAAATATCCAATTGCTAGCAATGATTTGACCATTTCTTCATTCATGAATAATAATTCTAATTGTTCATCTGTAAAATTAAAAATTGAAAAAATTCACTTTACACACAAACGTTGAAAAAAATAAAATTATTAGATCTTCAAATTCAATATAAACGTCAAATTTTTCTAATTTTAAATACTTATTTATTTAAGATGCCATGGTGCATGTGATAAATATAATTAAAATATATTGATGTTATACTTTCACCCCATTCAATTTGAAGACAAGGCATTAGTTACTAATTTCAAGGATATAGAGCAAATTGAAGTTAAGCAACTCCATCACAAAATGTAAGTGTTGAGCTCTGAGTCTAGTTGAGACCCAGTCGTCAAACGAATCTCAATTACTCTATTTTTATTGCTAGAAGTTTTTTCAAAAATCGATTGGTATCTGTTGACCATGGTTGTTTGAACTGAGTTTTGATGAACTTTTAATGAGTTAAATCTCGTAGTTCGACTTATCTCCACTATTTTCTATTTAACTAAATTTTTGACAAGCTACAAATTCACAATATTTTTTTTTCCTTTTTCAAGTTAATTTATGAGCCTGTAAATATATTTAGGAGTTCTTATGATTAATTATGGTCTAATCTCTTGTGTATTTCGTTTATTAGGTAAACCTCAATGATTAGAAGTAAAATTAAAAGAAATGAAAAAAATGATAAAATTCAAAGTTCAGGAACTAAAATTCAAATATTCAATTGTTGATGCAGACCATAAAACGGTTATTGAAGACCATATGGAATCAATTGGATGAAAGTTGAAGCTAAAGGATGGAATTTGCACAAAAAAATGGATCAAAATTGGGGACCAAAACCTCAATTGGCGCACACGCCACCGATGTCGATGTGCACTACCAGCGACTTAAAGAAAAGCCAAGGGAAAAATATTCCTACAGCATGTGCAGTGAGATCAACGCACTCTCGTGGCCCAATTTTCTACTGACACGCCAATTTCGTTTTCTTATTCATCAAACTCTTCTTGGTAACAACCTTGAGACAATTTTTTTTTACCTAATTTCGATCATTTGAAGATCCAGTCTTTATTTTTGGATAAAGAAGAGAATGTGCAACTGAAATTCATCAAGAAATCATTGAAGAGATTCAAAATTTCTCTTTTTCTTCATTTATCAAAAGTCTGGGTGATGTTTTATAAATCAAATATGATTTTCTTGTAATTTTGCAGTGCTAAACTAAATTTCTATTTACTAAGATATAGATGAACTATTATTATGATTTCAATATTTTTATGCCTAATATGTGTTTGGTCTTGGATCATTGTTACAGGACTTAATGTTTTTCAATTAATTAGCTACTAATTGAATTGATGTGTAGATTTTATTGTTATCAAGAGACACAATAGAATAGATATCATGATATAACAATTGTTGTGGGGATCTGATAAAGGATATAGATATACTCATCGGGTCTGTTTGGTAGATAAATGGGCACCAAAATCAGACTCAACCATTTGTCCATGATTTCAATAGCTGTTATAGGATTTTTAATTCATACTTTTATGTTCACATATTTCATAGAAATATAGAAAATTCACATGAGATGATAAATTTAATTATACTCGACATAGATTATTAAATAATTTGGGAACATTGACCAGCATATTGCCATGACATTGGATTGTATTATAATGAATTAGTAAGGGATATTCGAAGTCTCGGTAATCATCTTACCTAGTTTTACAAAAGCTCTCATAATTTGCTCATTAGAATATGAAAGTTACTAGTTCGAATCTAAAATCACAAAGAGGGAGTGAATAGGTGAATAACGAGGAATTAAAATCATTGTTGTTTAATATTGCAACAAGCCACTAAAATAATTATTCTAGATTCAGTTCACATGAATTAATTATCCCATGTTGAATTGCCTATTTGTATGAAATCAATAATGTAAATAATATAAATAATTGATGACGGAGGAAACCCATAACTGGGAAAAAACTTCCAAACCAAGCTAGTAGCATCTACTATAGATAATAAGAACTTACAGTATGATTCAGTTTAGAAAACTCACTAGACTTGTTGATCTAATTCATGTAATCTTGAGACCTGCTGGAACGTGCTTCACTCACACCTGCTCTCGATCTTTTGGAATTGACTATCTCCTGTGGATCATCAAGAACAACTTGTTATTGTATTCTTTCTGCGTTTCTAATCCAACCTCCCTCAATTTTCAACAATCTCTAAAAGTTATTGAGAAAGTACATTCCTGTTTATATTTAGGAAGTGAGAGTTTTGGATTATTTGTATTTAATATTTTTGGCAACTTGTGGTCGATTGATCTCAAGAATCAAATGTTTAATCTCAATGCAAGGATATGCTCTCGAATCTTGGAATGTTGTTATGAGGATGTATTATAATGATTAACCACACCCAAAAACATAATGAGCATTGTGTATTTATAATAAGAGGTATTTGGGTAGTACATGTTATATAGAACTCTTAAAAAATGCGAATTAGGGTTTCTCAAAAAACACTATCGCTCGAGTACCCGACTAGCGACGGTGTGTCGCTCGATTGACACGCGGGAGACTATTATTTTGCTTTTTCCGTTCGAGCATCAGTTAGATTACAGACCAACGTAAATCTGGCTACTCTTTCTTCATGTTTCATACTCGAACCCAAAAACTCCTATGTTATCTATACAATTCCCCAAAAGATTTCTAGAGTTTTACAACTCTTTTATAGTAATCACTTTATCAAAATAATTGCCAATACAACATAAGTCTTAACAGAATAGGTTGTTAGTTACATAAATTAACATAAAATTGGCAATCAAAATTGGCTATTCGATTAAAATTAGAATTTATTGATCCTGAATTATATATATAGTCTCCGTGGAATGACATCTTATTCATCGCTTTATTACTTGTACATAAAATTGTGCACTTGCAGAATTCCGTACTATCAGTAGACCTCGAAGTATTTAAATATTTTATTTCTATGAACTCTCACCAGTTTTCTCTATATTATTTGCAAAATGACAACTTCGCCTGTCTGCAATTTTCTTGTCTGATTTCATACTAGTTTTGAGTGTTTTGTCCACCAAACAAAAAAATGTACACCATTTATTTATTTCCACGCATAAATGTTTATTGTAGGATTCAAAAGTTGTCATTCTTGTAAAAACAAGACACGACTCTTCTTGGAACTTTCCTTGGATATAAATATCACAGGTCAAAATCTCACTGCATCCACATGTTGGACAACATTATAATCGTCTATCTACTTCGAATGTGAGTCTCAGAAGGCAATTCTCTATGTACAGTTCATGTAAAATCTACACCACGAATATAGTCACTTGCAACTAAATCAATATGTAAGGCAAATGAAAAGTAAAAAATGTACACCATTAACTGACACACAAACATCTAACATAAGATGCTAATGTCGTGTCATGAGTACTCTTCATACAATATTTTTTAGACGTAAACATAAGATGATATTTCATAATCTCCTAGGTTTAGAATACTTGTCCAATGTGTGCTCCACAAATTTTCAAGTTGCTTGTGCTTCCACGTCTCAAAAGTGAATGTTTTGAAAATCAAGTCGCGACAATTTAACTGAAAAAATTAAAAAAATTGATTTCAAAGTTTTATTGTTTAACATCAGAACATTAAATATCATAACAAAACCTGATTTACCTATTAGTTCAATCGAATGCATTTAAAAATAAATAAATTTCTTGTCTTGCCCTATGTATCATGCTATGTGCTATTGAGTACCTTTGACGCCGTAATTACCATTTTTTGTTTTATGAAAGTTAAATTACTTTGGCATTCAATTCAAGTTCTTGAACATTTAACTTCGATATTTTCGAGTTCAATATGTGAATCGAGTTCGAAAAAACATTAATGGTTAAGATTTCCTATCGAATAAAAGAAACAATGCAGTATTTTAGCATCCGACTTGAGTTCCCTTGGACCCTTGACTCTTGAGCTTTTATCTGGATCAAGTTTAAGAAAGCATGAATGGATAGGATTTCCTACTGAATCAAAGACATGCATTGAAGGGTCCCATAGATAAAAGGACCCAGTTACATAGTAGATACAGATCTCCTATTATCTCTTCAAATTTCTAGGGCCTCTTCTTTTGTGGCTCTCAATATTCCTCTTCAGAGGCTATAAATTGCACCAGACCAAGAACCACCCCTAGCAACACAAAATTATACAATCAAGGTTTTATCTCCAAAGAAAAAAAAAGAAGAAGAAAAGTCTAAAGGGCCCTTGTAATTATTTTCTTGTAATGGCTGGTACAGTATATGCTGCTGGATTCAAAGGGGGTCTAGGCCTTTCTTCTTTTTCATTCATGGCAGGTGAAGACTACACTGCCCTGGCCGGGGCGATGCCGACGTGGGTTCGGGTGGCTCGTCCGGTGCGGTTGAGGCCAATGATGAAGAATGTGAATGAAGGAAAGGGTGTTTTTGCTCCAGCTGTTGTTGTCACACGTAATGTTATAGGGAAGAAGACATTCAACCAGCTGAGAGGCAAAGCTATTGCTTTACACTCACAGGTAATTAACAATTCCAGCTGCTTCATATTTTTTTGCTCGGTTTCTATGGAGAGTCGGTTCATGTTTAATAACGTAGATTAAATAAAAATGGACAAAATTAAGAAAGGGAGAAAATCGAGTATTTCAATATACTAGTACTTGTTTGGTAATGATTAAAATTCAATTAAAATTGAAAATATAGTCGTTATTGAATCTCACTCGTTTAATAAAAGTCAACAATAACGGCTACTTTTTTCAATTTTAATTCGATTTTAATCTCTAATAAATATTGCATCTAAGTTTGAGCTTATTTCTTCGCGCATATTTGAATTAGTATCCTATAACTAATGTTACTTAGTACAATATTAAATATTGTAGAGCTCATCCAAGTAGACGCGTGATGGGGGAGGAAATAATTAAAAAAAAATGAGTTTAGTCAAATTTTTTGTTTTCTTATTTTGTTAATGCAAGGATGTAATTTTTTATTTATAAAATAACATTACTTGACAATAATATGTTAATTTTAATATTATTTGGAGTTTGACTATTATTTAAACCTCTAATCTTTAATTATTTCTGCACTTGGATTTTGTTAAATTACAATTAAGATTTTGATGGATTTTAAAAGATTATAAATTCTAATGAATTTTGTGGATTTGAATAGATTACCATAAATTCCATAAAAATCTCATCAAATATAGTGAAATTTTCAAAGATTCAGTTATATGTATTTTTAAGTTTAAAATCCATCCCAATCTTTTAAAATTCATATATTAATTAAATCTTTATAAATTAATTAATTATTGAAGATACCTAAATTTTAAATGATTTTATTGAATTTCATTAAAATCTCAATTGAAGACACCTAAATTTAGAAGGATTTTTAAAATCCGTTACAATCTCAATTGAGGATAACCCCTTAGTAGATTAGAATCTCTAGTAAGATATTCGTTCCTACTCAAATTATATAATTGTGGGATTAGAGTTATTATTATTATTTTTTAAGATAAGCGTTCTTGAACAATTTTCCAAGTTTTGACTATAAATGCATGAAAAGTTACTCTTATTAAAAAGTCAATTGTAACGTTGAGTTAAGATCCATTGTCCTTAATTGACTCTCCACTAAAATTATGATACATCATTACATTAACTTTTGTTAACAGTAATAATGTTATTTAGCACAAGTTGTATTATCACATATTTCATTAAAAGACAAGCTTAGTAAAATGTAGAAAATAGACGACTCATTTAGTAGATTTTGTTAGAAGTTGATGAAATGTGTGGTTGAAAAGTTGTGGGGACCTATAGAACATGCGGTTGAAATGAATTGTTAATTTTGATTTAGATTAATACCTAAATGTTAATCGATACCAAACATGAATTGAATATCATTCAATATCACTTAATCTAGTACTGTAGAACTACTGATGTTGAATGACATTACTCTGTTAACAAAAAAGGTAATGCTTTATAGCACTATTGGTGCCTAGGTGACAATGAAGTTTAAGACTTGTTTTACGCATCTTTGGTGCTATATTTTATTAGTGTAACAAATAACAGGATATCACTTAAAATGTGGATTCACTTGTACCATTGCACGACATCTTGCTATTTGTTAAATAAGACTTGACGTAGTGTGGTGTCAAAATTTTAGTAGAAGAATAGCTAAATAAGAAAACAAATTCAAGCCATGTTCCTTGAGCACGTTAAATATTTGTTTCAAAACGACGTAGTTCTAATTATATAATTTGCATAAAAAATTTCAGGTAATAAATGAATTCTGCAAAACAATCGGAGCAGATAACAAACAAAGGCAGGGACTGATTCGACTGGCAAAGAAAAATGGAGAAAACCTTGGATTCCTTGCTTAAGGGGATATCATGGTCTGCAGTTTTATTTTGTCTGTGGACATCTTTCCAGTCATTGACTTCCAATTGTATCCTAACATCAAATATATATTTTTATCCTTGAATATAGATGTAATGATACAACTTTCAATGAATAGAGTAAATTGAAGAAATCTGTGGTTCAGCAAGAAAGTTGAAAAGAGCATTCTGTGGATAGTCTGTGTTGGCATAAAATTATTGACTACAAGAAGAGTTTTTAAATTGTCCAATGATAAAATGCCACGTGAAATTTTGTCAAGTAAAATGTACATCAAGCACTGCTTGAACCGAATTTGATTCTTTCAAAATTATACCCACTTTTCAGATTTCAATGACTCAATTTCAATTTTAGCTTCTTAGAATAACTTAATTTCACCTTTTAACTTCATAAGGGTCATCTATATGCTAAATTAGTACTTTTTCTTCAACATAGCCTTCAATCATATACCATCATCCCTAGTCGACGAAGAAATTTCCCTCCAAGTCAACCATTAAATAAAACCAATCAAAAATACAAAACCTCTCAAAATATACTCATAAGCAAAATTCAAGAGGTTAACATGCAGTACAAAAGTACTCAGTTTTCTAGCTCATCATAAAGCTGAAAATAGAAACACGCTAAATAGCACAAGGCAGGATCTTCACACGCTATATCGACCACCTTTTACTGCTGATCTTTCCTTTCTAGAATCATCCTGCATTAAACGGTGAAATGGTAAAAAAGGAAGAACCCATTATCGTGCAAAAGAAAAACACTACCGGTATAATCAAAATTACATGGAAGCCGTAAGATATCTTATCAGTGACATCAAGGATCTCTTTCCACTTCCTCCCAATGCCCATCTGCATTGTGATAGATCAAATTAACATTCAATCACAACTTGTGTCAAGCGCATAACTGTAAAAGGCTCTAGCCTTTAAAACATGCACCAATGCATCACGCCACAACTTCAATCTCAACAACTGATGAACTGGAAAAATCTTAATCGAATGGACAAATTGGAGGGTCACAGTTCTCTAAATTGCCTGGATTATTTTTAGTCTAAAGGGAGGGTTTGAAAAGGAATCTCAGAGGTAGTGAGGTTTGCCAGGAAATGAAGGGGTGAGATACTGCCTCCTGTCAGGAGTTCTGCATACACGTGCATCAGACCACTCATACTTCATCTTATCCAAATAATTGTGTATCTTGTACAGCTTCTACAAAACATTGTTGACCAACAAGATTAACAAATATACCTAAATGAGGTCTTGCGCAACCACAGTACATTGGAATTCTATCTCTTTTCTCAATATTGAAATATATAGGAGCCTAAAAAATAAACCCTATAACATTATATCAGCGATTAAACATTAAGACTTTAACCTAGATAAGATATTGGTCTTGTGGCCGAATCATCCATCCAGATTTCACTTCTTTTGTATGACTGTTGTCTCCTTATTAGTGATTTGGCACTGTCTTCAGCAGAATGCTACTTGGAAGGACATCTCACCCCAACCAACACCCATATTCAATTCCTTTTAGTTTACCAAAATCAAAGTTGGGGTAGGATGTTAGTGATAGCTGAGCTGACAATCAAGAATTATCTGATTCAACTTACAATAGATATCAATGCAGGGGTGAACTAAATGCACAAAAGATGCAATAACCAAAAATAATTTTCAATCTTTTGTTTCATTTAGCAATCATGTCTCTAGTTCTGTTAACAAGTTGATCTTTGTTAGGGTTAAATGGTCATGTGCAGTTCGGTTAAGCGAGTCATGTGATGGTAGAGTAACTTCAAGAAAAGGGAATTTTGGATTTTTTTCATTGCTAATTGGTACCAGAATTCAACTAAACGCAATAGAAATTTGGCAAAGGTAAAATGAGCACATGCTCTCCCATGGCGGACACTACATAAGAGTACGGCTAGGACACATTGGTGGTCGTTACAATTGGGGGCAGCATTATGCTTATTTTGTTGCAGAATCTAGAAGTAGCATTCAAATCTCCTTATTCCTGGACAGTCGACATATATCGTTATGTCGAATATTTCCCTTCGATATTATTTTGTAGTTGATTAACATTTGATTTCTTAGGGTAAATTTCAACACAAGCTTAGTAGGATATTCTGACCCCCATCTTTGCTGCATCAGAGTGGTATTGGTAACCAAGCAGTGGGCTTTGCACCGTCCTAGAGAGTGTTGTCATGGACGAAAAACTAGGAATGAACTCAAATGAAACAGATAGAGATCTGGACAAATGAAAAACGATTGAAGATTTCCTGTTTGCTGTGCAGACAATCCACAAACAAGAATGAGTGGAGGCTTATTTGGGAATTAAAGAATGCAACCATGTACCTTTGAACACACAGTAAAGTAGTATTGACGATAAAACAACAAAGAAGAGAGTGAAAATCCTTTACAAGACCCCGTCGGTGATGTTAATGTGAAACAGAAGATGGGTTGGTTAGTACACTAGATCTGAATAGAAGAGGAATCAAAATTGAAATTGTTGATTTTTTTGGAAAGATGCATGCTAAAGCCTACCTCGATAGCTTGAAGAAAAGAAACTCAAAGTAATCCAGAGGTGGATGAAGAATATGAAAAGGTCTTCTCATCAAAGTCAAGTTTGCCAACACAAGGAGGATGAAAGTGGAGTAACTAAATGAAACAAAAATGCTAAGCAAATGAATTAGTATCTTGACCTGATCTGTTATTTTATTTCCTACGATCATGACTCAAGTTCTCAAGTTTGCTCAAGGGTTTGTTTGAGCCCCACTTTCTGGGGAAATAGACTTCCTAACAGTGACTATTTGGAGGATGTCTGGTTAAAAAGTAATTTTGGGGTTACGTGTAAAATTATTTTATCAGAAGAATGTATGATTGAAAATGAATTTGAGAAAAAATGAATTTTTAAAGCATGGAGCTCAAATAAGGGGCTAAATTTCAAATTATATTTATGTATCTTATGGTTTCTATAGATCGTGTGATAAGAAACTGAGGCGCTTAAGTGTAAAGGCATTTTGTTATTTTTTGGTAGCGAGAGAAGTTGTGGTGCTTAACAGCTCTCTAAGGGCTGACTGCCATAACTTACATATTCATCATTTTACTGCTGAATCTGAAAGTAACATGCAAGGTTCTTCTTTTCTTGAATCATATAGATGTTGTTCCCTTGAATCATTCTCTCTTTGATATTATGTGCTTCTTACTTACTGCTGTATTTCTTTTTTTGGGGTGTAAACCGCACCAACAGCTTCGTAGGATTTTCTGATTCATATTTACTTCACCATCAAAATCTAAGAAATAATTACCTTTCTAACTATAAAATGACAAATAATTACCTGTGCTGCTTCATTTGCTGCATTCTTAGTCCACAAAGAAAGTTTGTCTTGCCTTTGGCGGACACTGGCGACCACTCCACAGATCTCATCAGCTTCGTCAAATTGTTCCCCAACCAAAGCCAACAACTAAGGAACAAAAATTTATCAGTCAAATATGAAAAGATGAATTTGTTAATTGGTATAAAAATAAAAATAAATAAGGTTTTCATCTTTCAACCCCTCTTAAACATGCTAAACAGTGTTAAGAAAGAATTTTTATTTTTTGATTTACAGTTTCAAGCCACATGTCGTCAAGATTAGCCTTTCTGTTGCTAGTAACAGTCCATTTGCCTCCGTTAGCACACTCAGGATCTTCCCATTTGGGCTCTATTCCAGCTTTGAACAAGTGAAAATCAGCATTTGTTGGCAACTTGCTTGGCCTAAATATCTGATCATATAAACTGCAAGAAAATTCACCATTTCAGTACATAAATCAGCTTCATACCATCTATGAGAGGTCATCATACTTCCACATTAAGAGTTCTGTACTATAAACGATATATCATTTGTAGTATATTTGAACCCGAGATAAATAGCAAAGATAATATCTAATTCATAAAATGCAAAACAGTGGCATTGCGGAGGTCATCTATCCTGCAATAACAATGTCTGGATTCCAC